CGAATTACAGTGTTTTTCCCCTGGGCAAGTAGAAAAAAAAAAACGAAGGTACATTCTAAAATGTGTATCAATGCGAGCACTATTTCTTCAGAGCAGTTTTCTTTTCTTTTAGTTGAGAATATTCTTAAAATAATAATTACGTTTGAGATGTACGGCCATATTGAAGTATTATACTTAAAAGGATATTGTATAGATAGCAAAAATGTTTACGATATTTTTGTGATAAAAACTTGTTATTATTGCAACCAGTTTTTGTTAGCATCACACCAAGCAACAAACCTGAAACAATAGTTTTCTTAAAATTGTTATTTTCAACTATCTTATCCTTTGGCAGTTTGTCGATCGATGATGATCAAGAGAATGCCCTTCAAAGTTTCACGAGTTATGCGGCTTTGAAGATTAATCCTTGATCCACAGGCACGGTTGTATATATATTATACCTTTTTATTTATTTATCTATTGCTGTCTGGCGTTATTCATATCAATATTTCGTGTCGTGTTTGATCATTTTTTGAGTTTCTTTCCCTTTCTTGTGGCCCCCCAGTGGCACAGCGGTATGTCTGCGGACTTACAATGTTAGAAATCGGGTTTCGATACTCGTGGTGGGCAGAGCACAGATAGCCCATTGTGTAGCTTTGTGCTTAACTACAAACAAACAAGCCCTTTCTTGTGCCACCGATGCCAGTTCCGATCTTGGGGCACCACTTGGCTTGGTTATGAGGCTGGATAATATTTCAGACACTGTTTTATGTATGTGTTTGAATCTGTGTTTGTGGCCACCATGGTTATGTTTTCCACTCTTCTCTTGCTGTAGAGTGTTGTCTTTTTTATACTCTTGTCCTCTATGTGCACAGCATGCTCTACTCCTGTCAAGTAAACGGTAATGAACAGCATTATTTCTATACTTGGTATTGTAGGCACTTCTTTGATAGATATTTTATCTTATGGTTCTCGTGTGGCTTGATCGAAACATGGAGAAGAGCCAGATGAGCAGAAAGGACCATGATACAGTATACTTTACATTTTATTACCAATTGAATTATTTTCTGATGTCGACTGAAAGGGATACAAGCTTTCTGGCTACAGTTGTTCAGTTCCATTGTCAATGCTTCCATCACACGCTGCTTACGTACGTGAAATATTTAATAACATTCAGACAGTTGTTTTCAATTGTGATACACGGGTCATGGTGCATGTTTCCAAGACTTGGCTAGTGCATAACCTATGTTTTCTTCAGATTCATTGTCTACACAAACTTGGTTGCTGTGCAAACTTTGATGAAATGGTTTGAAAATTCTCTTTTGAGTGAATTGCTAAGGTTTTGTCATGGTCTGTATGTAGGTCCCTGAAGTTAAACGTTTCATATACTGACTTAATTTCTGTAAAACAAAAGGGGTATTTACCGTAAAGAGCTATGGTAGCATACCGTTGTTCATAAATATGGTAAAAAAATGTAGTAAAATAGGGAAATTCTGGGATAGTGCAGCTTCTTGGATCACCATATGATTCCACATTAATCTTACTGAGTGTGCAGCGTGGTATTGGTGAAAACATGACAGGGTTACACGTTAGTTCTTATTTTGCTGTTCCAAATATGTAAAACACTCTCAGTGTTATAATTAGCGAGATCACGGACGATTATGGATGTGCTCCTTTCAGGTCAGATGGGTACTGTTGACTAGCTGTCTTCCCTCTAATCTAGCCTGATGTGGCCCAGTGGTTTGAGCACTTGAATCGCAATCTGTGGGTCATGGGATCGAAACCTGACGCCGAACATACTTTTTCAGCCGAGGGGGCACTACGATTTGATGTTTAATTAGGTTTGGTAAAAGAATAACCAGAGAGCTGATGGTGGGTGCTTCCGGCTGGATGCCTTTTCTCTGGTCGACAGACAAAATTAGGGAGAGATTGCCTTGATAGATTTGCCACAAATTACCGTAGCCTGTTGTGTAGCTTTGCGCGAAGTTTCTAAAAGAAACAAATATCATAACTCTGGCGTGTTCTGGTGGTTAGGGCGTTCCACTCACAATCTGCAGATCTTAGGTTCGAATCTCCGTCACCGAACGTTTTCACGCTTTCAGTTGTGTGGGCGTTATAATGTGATGGTTAATTTCACTATTCGTTGGTAAAAGAGTAGCTGCCCTCCCTCTGGTCTTTCACTGCATAATTAGGGACAGCTACCCGAAGAGGAGATGGGCGCCACCACTAAAATTGGCCCGAGAATCATCGATGATGTAACAGCATCTCAGGTTCCCCAACGTTCGTAACCAGCCTCGGGACTTATACATATATATACACACACACCTAATTAGAACGATATATTAATTTACTTATATTAATTAATGGGTGAATGTTTAGTTCTAATCCATGTAGTTAATGATAATTTATATATAAAATAAGTTAGATAATACCTATAACATCAGAGGATTCATACAGGAGTCAGAGGTCAGTATCCTAACAACTAACGCAAAAGATAAATAAAATTGTTGATTCAAACTGAACAAACAAACCATACAAACGAGTAGTTTTCTTTTTTGTTTTTTATAATTGTGACAATATTGTTAAACTTGCAAATTAAGAGAAAAGTACAGAATTATAACATTACCACCGTCGTCAAGACGCCAAGTTCAAACGTTCAAGCCGATTTTGTTTCCTTGGAGAATTACTTGAAATTTAACTTGGCAAACAGCAGCCTCGTAGAAAATTTACGATGTCAGCTTAGAGTCATAAACCCTTAACTTCAAGACTGAAAGTGGTAATTTCCATTACCCATAACATTTGATAGCTTAATATCAATTGCTAATGTGAATTCTTAGGAATTTTAATGTTGTTTAAAGCCGTTTCAACAAAACGACAAAGTTAATTTGAGAGGATTTAACATGGGACTTAAAACTCGACGGAAGTCTTCAAAATAAAGGCTACTGAAAAAACGAAAAGAAAAAAAAAAGATGTTATGTTTGGTTAAAAGTTCTAAGGCTCGGAAACTCGTACACTTACAGTTTTTGTATTATGTGGTTGTATTGAAAAATTCCTTGACTAAAAGGTTTATTAGGGAAGTTGTGTGTCTTCGATGTATGCACGTGCATTGAATGACTACAAATAGTTCCTGTGAATTAAGAAGCTTACCAAAATAAAACGTAGAAAAAAATACTGTTTCAAGAACACTGTGGTATTACAAAATAAAATAGTTCCCGGAAATTGAACATGTCTATTAAGCGACTAGATCCAAAGTTACGCATATAGAAAACAAAATATAGCAATATAAACCATATAAGATTTACAGCCAATTTACTTAAGTTGCTATAACTTTTGTTGTTGTTAACTTTAGCAATCACATATATTTATAAACATTTGTTAATGAGTACTTTCTAGGTAGTTTTGGTTGAATTAATTTGTACTTTACATAAATCATAAAGGTTTATTTGTTAGTTAGTTAAGCACAAAGCTACACAATGTACTATCTGTGCTGTGCCCATCACGGGTATCAAAACTCGGTTTTTAGCGTTTAAGACTTCGGGCTTACCACTATGTGTCACTGGGGGGACTGAAACATACCAAGGAGTCTACATATTTAAAAACGCATTGATAATTATGAAACAAGATATATAAGAATTTCACTAGGTTACTGCCCATGAAGAATCTTGATTCTGTTACGGAGAATGCTTGTAAAATTAAGAGCTTTATATATCACACAGTTTTATATTAAGACGTAAATCAATACATAAAATTTGCAAAATACAAATATTACTAGTAATTGCGAAACACACTTTATGACATGAAATACGCAAACAAAATATTATTTTGATTTTATTTGTTTTTTAGAGCAAAGCCACATTGCGCTATCTGTTGTATCCACCGTAGAGAATCGATCGCCGGATTTTAGGGTTGTAAGTCTGTAGACTTACCACAGACCACTCTATTTTCCAAACTCAGAGGCTCTAAAAACGATAGTAACTCAGAGGCTCTTAAAATGATAGTTAAATAATGTAAAATCCTAAAAAACATTATTTTGATTTGTGTATACAATATGTTATAATTGTTAATTGTAGTTTTATAGCATAGATAAAGATTATTCAATTTTTTGAACTAACTTTCTTGTGAGTAATTTAAAGACGATTTGAAATTATATTTACAAATGTAAATAATATGCGGAATAATATATTTTAAGTTCAAATTCGAGAACTAGCCAGTAAACACAATATTCCTGTCAACGTCAAATTCTCACAAAAACCCGGCCCTAAATTAAAATCGTTACTAA